CTACTTTACCCCCCCCCCCCACCCCCCCCCCCCCCTCCCCCACCCCCCCCCCCCCCCCCGCCCCCTCCCACCTCCCTTTGAGAATTTTAATTTTTACTAAACTATTTACTTTTAATTTAAAACAATCGATTTTGATCTGAATATTAGTTTGTTTTTTTTTTTTTTTTCTTTTGATGGGTTACATTTTCATCAACAAGTTTTGTAAAATACCCGCTTTTATTCTAAATATACGGTTTCATAGGAGAAAAATTAATTTTCATTGTTAAAAAAGTGATTTTTCTCCTATGAAAAGAAGAAAACATTTTTTTAATGTGCTGAGTTTTAAAAAAATCTACAGATTTCTTCAAAAAGGTTTTGTGAGAATGATTATCTTTGATTATGCATTTGAAATTTTCTTGTAAGAGATCCTCTTATACAGGACAATGCTTTATTCTTGATGGGTGTTAGGCTAAAGTCGACTAATTTCCAATTGAATTTAATGAAGCCTGATTTTGAAATTGAAAGACAACTTTTGATTTGGTTTATTTAGTTAAACTTATCTTTTCTTGAGCATAAACTTAAGTTTTTTAAACAAGAAAGCCTTTTCATATGGAGACTACTTAAGATAAACAGTAAAAAAATAAATTTGATTGTACCACCAATTAGTGTTAATCTATTATAATTATAATGTTTAATTGATTAAAACTTATTTTGTTTTTCTAAATCAACTTTGCTCAATCAAAACAAATGAAGCATTAAATAATTTGAATAAAATTCAATTAAAATAATATACTCTATGAATTCATTTTGAATGAGAAAAATTCTAATAAAATCATGTTTTGAATTTTTTTTTTGTTATAGACAGAACAAAACATTTTGTCTTGTCCTATGACGATCTCTGATCACTGATCGCACTTCATCATAACATATATATCGATAGGTTCGACCACGGATTAGTCGTTTCTTTCAGAATAGTCGCTCATCGAACTGATCTAATTTGCCTGATATACTTCAATTGCAATCAATGCCTCTTTCCACATTCATTGATAAATATTCGAATGAAATCTTCAGAAATCCATCGAAATCCACTTTATTCGCTTCTATGTATTTAATGCAATTAAGGATTGATGTTTATCATTTACCTATATAGTTTCATATGAAGAGTACAATCAATCGACAAACAACAATCGATCGATCTAGTTTTGAACAAGCAGCAATCGATCAATTGACTATTTCGAGTGAACATCGAATAGTATCAAAAGAAAGAACGACAATAATGATCAATCTTTTTCGAATAAGTGGAGATGAAAATTCTAATAATTATCATTCATTAAAGTGTCTACTTGCACAATGTGAATTTGTTGAAAAATCTGCTCAGTCCGATGTTATTCAATGGATTCAATATAAAGATCATCTGTGTCTGTTCATCTTCGCATATCATGCTACTTTACTAACTTTAATAATCACCAAATATTCACTTGATGCCATTCAACTATGTTGTAAGTTGCTCGATTATTCAACGGATGAATTTCGACAACGAGCTCAAAAATATCTCAGTTGTGTGTGTGTTTATTGACATTCCAATTAACTTAAGAGTAGTTTATTCAATTCTTCACAATATTACTTCATGCATGTTGTACACAATCGACATTAGCACGAAAAACACTCGTAAATATCGATGTTCATATTGATTCTGTCGAATATCTCCGATTACTCTTCATTTAGGAACATGAACAAATATATTTACTTTTTGAATCATCACATTATCTCATACACAATCTCGAGTTGTATCAACAACATATGAAAATATCTTTATTAGAATATGTGCATTTACAAAATGTTATTCTCCATGTACTCGAATATCTATCTATTCAAACATGCCAGTGATCGATGTTAACAAATCAAATGCAAATGGATAGTAAAAGAAGAACTATTGAAGAACAGTTATATTTAACTGAATTTGTAAAATTTATTGGTTGTCGAGATTGATATATGTATGTAGTTCCTTAATGAAAGAAATGTCGATTTGTGAACAAAACTTCATATCATGTCTTATCACCTTATCTTACTAACCAATAATGTACTCTTATGTTTGACACTGAGCAAAGCTATTGTCAGTGCTCTTCTTATAAATTGTAGTACAATTCCATATGTGCCATTTTTTACATGAAATCAAGCTCGACAATTATCAAAAATATTCTTTTTGAAACAATTGAAAATCCTTTGAATGAACATTTTAAAGACAATATTTTATCTCTTATTATAAAACATTATTATCACACAACAAATGACAATGATGAATATATTTTGATTTGTTTACAAGAACTTTCAAATCGAGAACTCATCATAGCAGCAGTCGATATTGCTCTCATTAAATGTCGTTCATCAAGGAGATCGAAAGCGATTCTTGGCAATTTTCTTGAACGTATGAATGGTGATTTTATTCGACTTTATCATGTACTTATGTTCATTGTTGTTGATTCATGAACAGTATTCATAATACATTCGATCACATTGGATTTGATCTGTATATATGAAGATGAACTCTTGTCTTTGTTCGCTGAAGAACTTGTTCAATGTCATGTAGAACAACATTCGAATCATATTTAGTTGATTTGCTTGTGCTCTTTACCATCGATTATTAACTCGAAAGCATACTTTAATTAAGAACGAAGAACAATTGAAGTAAAACATTTTCCGAAAAAGTGAAAATAACAAAGATGATCGAGAGTTTTGCATATGATTTTTGATTTGTTACTACTATGAATTGACCATCGGTGTCAAAGAAATATTTTTGTTAGCTATGTGAAATCATTTTCAAATTCAATGAACACCATTCCAATGTGTGACAAACATTCGACTTGTAGACAGCCATACTATTGTCGAAGATTCTTATCAGGAATTACTTTTTTTCGGAGTCGTTTCAACAACATTATATCAGTGCCTTGCTATTGGTACAACTTCACACAAGGGCAAACAAAATTTAGGTCCAGCTCTTTTCAATCTTCTCACACAATTCTCGTTCATTATTGATCATAAACGTGAAAATACAAATGATTATCATATGCCAAATTACATGAATTTCAACCGACAGCTTGAAGATATTATTGATGCTGATCAATATGCATCATTAACTTTTCGCACATTCACCTTCTAGTGAACGTTAAATGGAAAGAGAATTTTTTCTACATATATTTTCTTCTGTTGTACATATTAACTTCGTTAATCGAATCCTTGTTGATGTCTCTATGTATAGATTTTTGATGATCTGTGGTTTTGTTTTGCAGGTTTGGAACCAGTAGAATTGTTTAGAACCGATCATAATGTAAGATTTAGAATATAAAAAGAATAACATAAAATAAATTTTATCCCTCAATTTTCTCAAAACAAAACAAGAACTGTCTAATTCGAGTTCGAATACAAATGGAGACTCAGTTGCATGATATCAGTTCGAAACTAACTGCTAGAAATTAGGAATAGATTTAGTTTTAGTTATATATATATATATATATAATTCTTATGTGCGGTGTATATGGCAAGGGGGTGATGTTGATATCTATACTTTTGTGTTTCATTTTTCTGAAAGTTAATCTAAAATTAAATCTACGCTCAGAGATATTTAGTAATTTTCTTTTTTTCGGATCTCATCTATATTCAAAATCGAGATTGTTGTAACTGGTAGTTATACATATATTCATAATGATATTCAATTTGTATTTTTTTGCCCATAATTATTATAATATTTCTTGTTACCTTCGAGGACATTCACCCAATTCTCTATAAATATTAT